TAACCATAACCATAGAAAAAATGTATTTCTCTAATTTAATCAAATGTAATATACTTAATGAAACATAGAATATATTTAAACTCAATGTAAAAACACTACGATAGAATAGCATTTAAAACTTTCAAAATAATATCTATCAAGATATCAGATATTTATGTGTATATATATGATATAATTCAACCACCACCATGAGATAGTTATACAATCTTACCCAACTGCACTTGCGGTGAAGATTTTGTTCGATAATTCTTTCTTTTTCCTGACAACATAATTATAAATAAAAAAAAACGTACACCAATAGAATCAAAATATAGAAGATAAATTTTGTTATATTAATTAAAAATAAACTAAAAATATCAAAATATTCTTTCGATTTTAAAAAAAACAAAAAAACAAAAGATATTATGCAATATAATTTCTAGGTCTGAAATTATTAACTCTGCAACATCAAGTGCATATGGAAATAGTAAAAAATAATTTAATATTATATATGTTATCCTCTATAATATTTTAACATTTTATTCAAAACAAGTTACAGATAATTGTTGTTAGTCAAGGCTATATTTTAACAAACAGAAGCAAGTAAATCAAACGAAAAAGCAATTAGATTGTAGTAATTAATTACCTTTGACGCTCCATTTCTGCCAGCCTCTCTACTTCATCCATTTTGCGATCTCTGTCTCTGTATGAACGTTTCTTATGACTGACAATGTGTACATCATCCGAAGCATCTGAGCCAGAACTAGAGGATGCAGAATGGGATCGTTTCCTGTGCGCATAAATAAATGCATCCGAATTTTATGTAACTGGAATAATACCGGAGCAACAACAAACAAGTTAAATGGACTGAAACTCATCGAGTGCATTGCAACATTTATTAATAGAAGACTGCTTACAACGCATTAAGATATATATACGACGACGGAAGACATAACTCTTTAACAAGACGTAACATGTATCTGAGAAAAAGATTTCTCCTATCGAATAGCAAAATGGCGGAAATCTCGATAAAACGAAACGATTCCAGTATGCATATACTCGATAATAAAGTGAGATATGTTACCTTGATTTGGAACTACGTTCTTTTGGCTTGTCGGAGTATTTGTTGTTCGAGTGCTTCTCACGTGATTTTGAACGTTTCCTCGAATGCTTGCTCTTATGACGCCGCCTACTAGGAGATTTCGTCCTGGATCTGGAACGACCCATTTCAACGAGCTCTACTGTCTTTTTTAAATAAACACTTGACAAATTAATATACTAATCACGGGAAATGTAACTACATATAAAAATAACCGAACACTACGCGAACACCGCAATATAATAACAAACCAGACACTGCTAACATGTACACCGCACCACTGACTTACACCGAAGTTCTGGCAACCATGTTTGATTTAGTGTTCAAGATGGCGCTCGTTGTCGAACTATCGGTTTTGTTGCAGTCTTTTTTTCGGGTAATACTTCAATATTTTGGGTAATACTTCAATATAACTTACAAAAAGTATAATTCTTACACAATTCGACATTCCTTCAGCTTTTACAATAATTTATTTACCATTTCTATTACTTGACAAAGTAGTGCGTATCGGAAATGTTCACATTCAAATTTCACGCTAAAAGTCTTTCTGTCTGTATCTCGCCAATCAGAATGCAGAGAAAAAAATCGTACAATTTGTACAATTTCTTACTATAATTTCACGTAATATAGATTAAATATACAATCCAGAATGTAAATTTTCATGTTATCTAGGTAGAATTAACCGGGAGAAAAAGGAACAATACCGCACGAATTAGTTAAAGTCGACAAGACGGAAAGTCGAAGAGAAGGTAGCACGGAATGAATGACAAGGTGAGAAAATGGCCCGCTAAAATGAGAAACAAACTACTGGAAAGTGGTGTTCGGCCGCATGTGTTCCGAAAAGCGGTGATATTCGTTGGCAATGGCACCCGTTCACAGCTGTGTCGGCGTCGCGCGCATCTTATTCGGCTCGTTCCGCGACAGCAAAAATCAAGATGGCGCTCCTCTGTTTGCGGATAGTTCTGCGACTGATATAAATACGTGAAAAAAAACAGTGTGAAAAACGGTTACGGGATATCGAGCGGATCGTGACGATTCGTACACGCGTGTCGTACAGTGACAGTCGATTGGTAAAGCGTCGCGATATCTGTAGAGCACGGGGTTAGCCGGGTAAGCCGACTACGGAATTTGGAAAGATCGGCTGAAGGTGCTGTCGGTGCCCACCTGAGGAATGCCAGATTATCCTCGGTGCAGCAACTCGGTTGGCAGGGGGATGCTAATCGCGTGACGGATCGCGTGCAAGTCGATCGAAAGTGGTTTTGGTTAGGTGGTCCCCCGGAAAGGTGTACGGTCGTATTTGTTCCGTGACGTATGTGTGTCGCGGAGGGCTGTAAGACAGGTCGGTCGCGAGTGTCGTCGTCGTCGTCACCGTCGTCGCCGTCGTCGCCGTCGTCGCTATCGTCGTCGTGGTCGGGCTCGTGTTCGTGTTCAGTGTGCCGCGAGTGGCGTTTTTCGCGGCTTCGATGTGCTCTCGTCCTCCGCTGGATTTCTGGACAGGCGAGATCAGCTGCTGCTGGAACAACTAGTCCGGCGGCTCTGGGAAACGATCCTCATCTACAGGAGCGGTGGGGCAAGGAGGTGCCGGAAGCAGCCGCGAGTCCGGAAGCATAACGAAGAAGATGGCCTTCAACGAGGTAAGTTTCGCTTCTTGGCAAGCCGCTATATCTATATAGTACCTCCTATCTTGCTATTCCGTTCGGTCGTTCGATTCCGTGGGCTGACCTCGCGACCCCCAAACGCCAATTCTAACCTAACCTCTGTTCCTGCGCACAGCTGGCATGTTATCAACTCTACCCCTTCCCCTTCTCTCTCTCTCTCTCTCT